GATTGGCCCTTACTTTAATTAGGACATTTAAATGAGAACGTGGCAACTAGTCATTTCTTCGCTTTTGTTATTGCATTTTTTCTCATCGAGCTGTGGGGCATATATTTACCAACAGTGGGTGCTTCTCATTTCTTATTTGTGCATCCTCGTTTCCTTTCCTTGAGGGAAGGAAGCGAGGAAAACAAAGGAGGACGGAGGAATCGAATAGAAGCTTTTTTATATACACTGGAATACTTAATCACTCGAGTGTCATCAGCAGCGCTAAAAGGATCTGCCTTTATGTTGTTGGAAGTTAGGTTATTGAATAAATTCATAATAAAGATAGACTACACTGTTGAAATATGTGGTTTATATAAACTGCAAAGGTAAAGTGTAAATTAAAATGATTGTGACCGATGTGAAGGGGGAGGAGAATTGATACGTGCGTCACATTTAGTCAAAACACTTCAGAATAGGATACACCCATGTATCCTCGCTCATGACTCCACAGGAAGTCTCCCCACTCCTCACGGTGCAATTAGAGAATTGAGATGTCCTTCAAGATGGCTGAGCTTGATCGGCTTCCGGTTCATAGGATGGAGGACGGAGTAGTCATTTTTTAAATATCATAATTAGCACAGCATTTGCACAGTAGCTGTCACAAATTTATTTTAACATACATTAAATCATCAAGTTACAAACAGGTTATGTAAATATAATGAATAGGCTAATATAGTGCATATACGAAATGCTTCTCTCTAGAGTTAATTTAATACGAGCTTGCTGCATTCGTACTTTATTTTCGGAGAGAACAAGAATCATGGAGCACACCAGGTTAATTCTTGCCTAATTTGGGGAAAATCTTATTTAATGGATAGTTCACCCCACAATTTAAATGTTGTCATTATTTACTCATCCTCATTTTGTTCCACACCTGTATGAGTTGGCTACCTATTGTATGGCTACCATCAACTGTCTGGTTGTTTTCTTTTGTGTTCAACAGAAACTCATACAAGTTTAGAACAACTTGAGAGCAAGTGTAAAAAAAATATATATATTGGGGGTGAACTATCTCTTTCGAGCCAAAAAGATGTTTAGAGTCCCATTCATTGACAACCACACAAACATTCACTGTGCTATCTAAATTGTTTGCTGACAATTATGGAATTTCAGTCAAATACAGGCTATTTTTGATGTGTGTAAAACTTAAAATACCCTTCAAATGATTATTCATATTTGTAAATGTGCACTTAAATAACAAGTTGAACAAGCTGTTGAGAAAAAACTAATTAAGAATAGCAGTCACAAAAGTAATCGTTCTCACCTCTAACATGTATAAAGTTTATGGCACGCCCAACTCGAACACTTGGTATCAAAATTATACCAGAGCTTTGTGGTGGTAAATATGACTTGAGAGGGTGTCTGTCCAATTTTTAACTAGGAAATTTGTATACAGTAACAGGTTCACACTGACCTGTCTGTTGTACTCCTCCTCGTTCTCCATCCACATGTACTCTGCAAAGGGGTTGGCATCCCCCTCCTTGTGTCCATTCACAACATTCTCATCCTTCCCTTGCCCGCTGCCTCCTCCTGGCGTCTTTGCTACCTCTGGACTGTTAATATCAGCGGGTTCTGTGGGTGTTAAATTCAATATTAATACTCAACCAAGAATATAGTACCCCACCACCCAACCACACACAACAAAAGTGATGCCAATGAACAAGACTTTAATTGGGACACTGAATACAACTAGTACAGATAGCATGAGTAAGTAAAACCTCAATCATTATGGTGCACGTGTTAAATTAACTATTCGGTAAGTATATAAACCATAATGCATTGGCAAATGTAATTTCAATGATTGTTATCACAACAAGGAGGATTCGTCCCTCTGTGTTTGGATAATATTCTTTCTCGCACAAGCACGAAACTTGCCAAAAATACGAAGGCACAATTACGTTCGACTTCTTTTAATACGTTCGACGCGACATAGTGCATAGCTCTCATGGTTTAAACATTATGTAACTATCTGTTACTATCCATCATAGTGTTGCATAAATGAGACAAAGAGGAGGTCAGTCGACACCATCTTTCTCCACATGGATTTGATGTATTGTAAGTGAGGCCTGATTAAGGCTCCAGGGATAACCATATATAATAGTATATAAACCATTATCAAAGTCTAAATTAAAACAACCCCCTTTTTCTGAAGATTTTTCCTGCCTCCGCAAAATAAAGTTAAACAATTGTTCAAACTTCACGTTTGGCGAGCGTATACTAACGTTAGTGTGAAGCTAACGTTAAGCGTGTTAGCTCGAGCCACGAGCGAGCCATATAAACAGCGGTCTTTCCGCGTGAAAAACAACATGTTGTCTGACCTCAAAGAGTAACGTTTAATGGCTTATTTGCTTATATCGACGCAAAAACTGATTATATTTGTGTTAAATAGTTTTAAATGCTACTGTGTTGTAAGTTAAGAAACACGACGGATCGTGTGTTAGCCACACGACTGCACCACACACACACATTACAAGGCCTCCATGCACACTGCGCTTAACACTAACTCTGCCAAGCGTGCATACATAGGCTTAATTTGCTTTATACTGCATGTTAAATTTGCTAATTTACTTATATTGGGCTACACAACGCATTCAGCGATGGCTACCATTTCACAAAACAAAGAGAGAGAGAGAGTAGCATACCGCATTTATAAAGTCGAAATATTAAACATGGCTCCTTTCAAAGATTTGAGCTGTTAAGAGAACTCACCCGGCATTGTAACGCTTCTGTCCCTCTAACTATCACCAAGTAAGACGACTAAAAGAGGTAATTTTCCTGTTTGCAGCGACACCGTTACCTGGCTAGATTTCAAGCCTACGTCAGAGTACTCATGTGGGCCTTTCACACAAACATGTCGCGCGCGCCTCCTGTTGGTCATCGTCGGTATCTCTAAAGCTCAGCGGCCACAGGCTGTAACATCTGATGATTGGATTGCTGCAGGTCCTGCTACAGCTTCATTACTCGGATTCAAACGTGTTTACAAGAAGAAACGATCAATGTAAAGTGATCGGGTTTAACGAAACGGCCCGCATTATTGTAAAATATATTCAAAGATTAATCTGCTAAATGGACCTTATGGAATTTTATCCAGGATAAATTTTTAAAAAGCTGATATAAAAAATCTAAATATATTGTTATTATTATTCTGTGGGCGGCATAAACAATTTGGAAAGATGGGAAAGTCGGCAGAGCACGAGACCTACGTTAGGCGCAAATATTTATTGTTTTTGTTCCAGAGAATTATTCCATTACAATCTGATCTCCAAAATCAGATATAAACGAAAAGGTAGGGTTCGTATTTTCCAACATCTGGATTATCCAAATGTAAATGATCTGACGTTATATAACTTGCCTGAACATAAAACTGAGATTATATTTAACGTAGACGATAGTTTATCTGATAAAAACTTTGCAGAGAACCACACGGTAATAGGAAATTAAAAGAAGCGGAAGCTCAGAATTAAATAGTGGGCTCTCTCTGGAAAGAAGTTAAAATTTAGGAAAGAAGACAAAAAAACTTTGTAGAGAACCACACGGTGATATGAAATTTGAAAAATAAAAGAAGCCGAAGCTTTTTCAGGAAAGAAGTTAGAAAACACTTAGCAGAGGATGGTTTCGATCCATCGACCTCTGGGTTATGGGCCCAGCACGCTTCCGCTGCGCCACTCTGCTGATATTCTGTTTAGTTTTGTCCAGTGGAAATGAATCTACGGGTTGTGATTTTTCATTCTTCAACATGACAGGTTTACATAATTTTGGCTAGGTCTGGTGACTTTTTGAAGATTTTTTTGGGCAATGTGTGAGTTAGAATGCATTTAAAAGTTGTTTTTGACAAAACAGTCAATACATTAATATACCTTATGTATAAACAGGAAAACACTCTGTTATGTGTATCTGTTCAAATCATACACTATCAAAGGTACAGATGCGCAAATCATTTAACGCCATTGTTGCGTCGGATACATATTTTGGACGGCCAAAACACTTGTTCCCTGACCGGGAATCGAACCCGGGCCGCGGCGGTGAGAGCGCCGAATCCTAACCACTAGACCACCAGGGAGCGGTATTGGTTCATGTCCTATGAGCGATATATTGGGGTTAATGGCATTTATGATTGTTCCCTTACCATCCCATGGAAAAAAGATCGCTCCCCAGATGTAGATCTACATTTTTCTTTGTTTCGTGTGGACATTTGACGGCGTGTACAGACACGCGGAATCACTCGGACGTTAATGGCGTAGACATACACGCATACACGCGGATAGCTCAAAATGCATAGAGATAACAAGCCACTTGACTCGAAAGTGGCGTGTATGTTTACGCAAAAGTCATGATGTCATGTTGGTTAGTTTGTTGACAGATTAATGTTACAGTTAATGGCCATGAACAACTTCAATTTGCAAAGATTAATATAAAACTTTACACTCTCTTCTTCTGGAGGTGCAGCAGAAACACGAATAGTTGGTACCGATTATTTTTTTCAGGAGCAGCTTCTTAGCAAAATCAGCTTTATACTGACCCTCGTTTATAAAGCAGGGTCAGGCACTGCCAACACACATTTCAGTACACTCAACTTGTAAAAGTTCATGTACCAATATGACCCCTTAAGGCTGAAGGTTAGTTATGTAGTAGTCATTCAGTTTGAAATATATAGTTGATTGCATTCAACAGTTTCTGCATTGCCATTTATGCCAATATGATTTATTGTTTCATTTGTCAGAAATGTATTTCTATCTCAGCTGTTGTCCAGAGAGTGTAACAGCTTTGTCCAGAGTAAATGCTTTGCTTGCACATTCCTTCGTATGTATGTAAGTTGGACATCTGGAGGATGGAGTCTTGATGTTGTCTAGATGTTATACAGCGATGGGCCTTCTGCGGATCTCCAGGAGAGAGCGGAGATCTGACCGGATCCTGATTATTTATTTATCTGTATGACTCAGCAAAAGAATGTGAACATTAAATGAATATATATTTTTCACCTTTATTTATATTTGAGCAGAGTAAAAAAAATCTAAAAACCTTTCAAGCAGCCTAAGTTTGACAAAGTTATTCAGATCATAAAAAAAGGTTTGGTGTATTCACGTTTTCTCTAATGCATTATTATATTAACACAATATATTGCATCTTCTTAATGTCTTTGAAAAAAAAAAACAGAAACAACAATAATAACAAACAATCAAATTAATAATATATAATTTACATTACCACACATCTCAGCAGCTAAAATGGCATAGCATGGCAATACTATATGACTGTAAAGACTTATTCAGGATATGTACAAGGTAATAGGCAGTGTAAGATATTTTGAAAGTCACTTCCTTTCCGTTCTGTCATCATTTCCCAATACCACTTCACTACACTGTTTTACCTCTACCCCTTTCTCCTCTTGTTCTTCAGTTTCCTCATCCTCCTCCACGGTGTCTTTTACATTTCCCTCTCGACTTCCTCTGTTCCTCTGTTCTCTTAGTGCACATGGCAGGCAGTTGACCAGGAAAAGGAGAGAGGAAAGACAAAGGAGAGAAAGGACAGCTCCAATGCCAATCTCTACTTGTCTATCAGCAGTTTTAACCTCCTTCCTCTCTTTTTCCACCCCAGGAGATAAATACACAACGCTCTCTTCATGGTTGGGGATCAAAACCGCATGCTCCAAATCATTTCTTTTAAATATGTCATTACCAGCATCATATTCACTTGTAGAATTGGCCATAATTTGCTGATCTTCAAAGTTATCATATAGCTCCTTATTAGAGTCGACAAGCATATCAGTCACATCGTGCATCTCAAAGTTGTTTTCCTCGCTTCCCATTGGCCAAAAGTCAGCGTTCAGGTTCACCCTTATCCAGCCAGAGCCTTTAGACAATCTTTTTGGTTCACTTCCTTTTTCTTCCCTTTCAACATGGTTAGACGCTGGTTCACAGCTGGAAACCAGGAGCTCGGCTTTCACAAGAGGCCCTCCGCCATCACCTTGTGCCAAGATGCGCTGTGATGGAGCGGGTGTCACAGCGACCACAGAATCAGCCAAAGAGGAGAGCCGGAGAGCGAAGGGAATCCCACTAAAGGCAGATACCAATAGGGCTGTGTCGTCATCAAACTGGATCCAAACACTGACAGATGCTTCCTAATAAAAAAAGAGCAGAAATAATTAGAAAGAGAACAAAGTTGGTAGAATTAATAGCATTAAAATGTTAATACTCCCTATACTCACTTGCCCATAGTTGTACAGTGTGTTGTGAGCATTCACTGTTGCTGTGACAATAGACGGATGAGATGGGCTGGAATTAACTGACAGGCCAAGCCCTCCCACCAACTGAACAGAGAGGTCACCAGGAGTGACAGGTTCAGAGGTTACAATGACATTAGTTCTTCCAAGCACTCCATCCCACTGACTTGATATCACCTTGAAAAACAGATATGAGATGCAATTAAGGGAGGAAATTAGGAACCAAGACAGGTCCATATATAAAGGGATGGTTCACCAACAAATAAGTCCTGTGATCATTTACTCACTTTCATTTTGTTACCAACCTGTAGAACATTAAGAAGATACTGAAGACTAAGTTTTGGACTAGACAATAAAAGTCAATGAGGTCCATAACAACACTGGACCCCATTTACTTTCATTGTATGGCCAAAAAAACAGTTTTCCATTTGAGTGTCACATTAGACAGTCATATAGGTTTGAATTGACATAAATGATGACAGAATTAAATTTTTTTGGGTGCACTATCCCTTTAGGTCGTTATTGTACAATGCAACATCAAACATTCTGACAGTAAATTCAGATACCAACATATAATGATGTGATTCCAGGCTTCAAGCCTATTAGATTTCTTTGTTTATCAAGAGCTGCAATATATGGGTTTTCTATCCTCAGCCAGTCTTGGACAAGTTCTGTCACATCCACAAACCAATCCGGTGATCCGAGCATGTAGGTTGGTTGGCCTCCTTGAGCGGCTGAATGGGCGGTGAATTGTGCCAAAATCCGTATAGCGGACCTCTGATAAACTGGTTCACATCTAAAAATAAAGACATTTCAATATTCTCATAATCAGTGCCATTACCTTGCACTATTTAAAAGGTTTGCAGAAGAATATTGTGTAATGCATTACAATAAGGTTCAATTTGTTAACTTTAGTTAACTATTACTTAACATAAACTTTAAAAATGTGCAGATAATATTACAATATAATATATATTAATACAATAAAAAGCCTCTTAAGTGTACATAAAGAGAGTACATTTTAATACCCATTTCCCATTAACTCACCCAAAAATGAAAATTTATTTACTCACCCTCCTGTAAAATGAATCCAAATGAATCAAGCGGTTTAATCTATGTCTTCAAAGTCTTGTGAAGACACACACGCATACACATCACAAACTGTATGGTAAACACAGAAGCTCAAACGTGCATGCGCGATGAGTGAGAAACAATGAGGTTTGTTCAAGTGCATGATACATACACGTCACACATGGTAAACACATGAGCATCTGTGTTTACCATGAGTGGAGTGTATGTATGTGTGTTGGTTAATGTTTCCATGTAAATAAAAGTCTAAATTAAATCTGTTCATCATAAAAAAGTGAGCACATCTCTTCATAAGACTTGGATTAAACAGATACATTTATAAGGATTCATTATATGACGTTTTTGGATCTTCAAAGTTTCAAAAGAAGACAATTTGAAGAATGTCTGTTATCAAACAGTGGATGGACCCCATTTACTTTCATAGTATTTTTGGAAGTCTTTGGGGTCCATCAACTGTCTGGTTACAGACATTCTTCAAAATATATTTCTTATTGTTCAACAGAAAAAAGAAATGTATACAGGTTTGAAACCATAGATATCCATAATAAAGGCTTACAGCGGAGTCTCTATCGTCATCACCAGCGGCCATCTTTTTTTACAAGCAAGCTTTTTGGTGGGCTCTGTGGTTCCTGATGTAAGATGACTGATCAGCACGAACACAAATACTCTTATCTTGTTGAAATCGTGACGGATTTACAAATAGTTCGGTTTCTTACAAACGTTATTAACGTGGATATATTTCTGGATTATTATTTATTTATACAGTTATTTTTCATAAGTATGCAGTGTCATAACTACATCTCTGACGTTTGAAAATCGGTAGAAAATTGAGCAAGTTCTGGTAATTTAAAAAGTACATGCAATGTTACGCGTTAGCGAGCTGCCTGTGACAAGATGGCCGCCAGGCGCGGATGTCGACCTCCATTGGCCAGCAGCGCGGACGATACATCTAAGCTTCATTATAGATATCTATGTTTGAAACAACCTGAGGGTGAGTAAATGATGACATAATTTTCATTTTTAAGTGAACTATTCCTTTAATGGAGGGACATAAACCTTCAGGTTTTCTTAAAAATCTCTTAATTTATGTTTTAAAGATCAACCAAAGTCTTGAAACAACATGAGGGTGAGTCAATTATTTGAGAACTTTGATTTTTGGATGAAGAATTCCTAACATGCAATTAAGTGTCTGAAAATATTATGCTACATTTATTTTGCAAAGTAAATTATTTCCGTAATAAGTACTATTTTTAAAAGTATGCTAAAGTGTTATTGGGTTTTTTTTCACAAGGAAATGCATTAAATATTGTTAATGAATGGGACCTTTATAACAAATATTGCATACCCGCTCTCACTGTAGTAATTCCAGCCACTGATGGGACTCAGGACAGAGTCAGAGAGAGACACACGCAGTGGAACTACTGGAGTCCACACGGCCAAGCACAAAGAGCCACTGAATGTCCCCAAAGAAAACTCCAGCTCCACACAGATGCTGCCCCTTCCGGATTCACTCCCATCCACAAAAAGCACAGAGCAATCATGAGAAACCTGCCAGCAAAGAAAAGAGCCATCAGATGAGTTAATGTATTTTATGCATTAGGCCAGACGTCCAACAAAATCTCTACATACCTTGACGATATCTTCATTGGCTGAATGACACTTCACCGCTGTGGTCACATCTGATACTTTGCCATCTTGACCCACTGCAAGGACGATGACAGGAAGTGACACAGGCTGACTTGTCAAGATGGCCGTGTTGATAATTGTGTTGCTCTGCAAATTAAAACAACTTAACTGGACCTCAGTAACACCATGTTTTTCCGAACCATCTTTACACATATTAATACTGTTACTGTTACATGGGCTTGGGAAAATTATAAGTGAACTACGAGCTTTAAAAACATGGCAAGTCTATCCCTCACAGCCTCGCTTTCAAAACTTACCTATCATGGCTCTGATCTGAATTTAGTCAATTCAAAACGCTCATCAAGAGATTGTAAAATAAATCCGATATAACAGACTCGTGTCTGTTATATCGTAGACTGTGTAATGTGTAGACTAGAGCATTAAAGACATTGAGACTTCTTAATCTGGTGGTGATCCTTATGATCATTTATTGTATGCATTTTGAAATTAGCAATAGATTTATGACTTACCTCTGTGATTGGGGCAATTCCCATCACTTCTCTGTCTATAAAGGAGAAAAAGCTCGTGACTGCCCCGTGTGGTGAAACTGCAAACTTGGGTGTTGAGTACTCCACCCACCAGCTAGCAGTGACAGTCATTGCTACGCCGAAGTTTCTGTGTAAAGCTTCAAATGAAAGACAGGAGATCTGGCTTAGAGCAGATGTGCTGTAACAGAAGAAAAGGTGCGAAGCAAAAATATAAAGGATGGATCAAAGAGTATTTTTACCTAGCTTTCAGGGCCCGTATCCCTAAAGATTCTGAGAATCCTCTCAGAGAGCACCTAACTTAACCTAAAAAATTCCTTGCCAGCAGTTTTAGCTTAGAAGTGATTTCAGAACATGTTCAGTGAACTCTGAGCAAGGAATGGATGGAAAATCCTATCTTAGTGAGGAGGTGTGGTTGACCCCGTTGCTAGGTATGAGTCATAATTTCAAAAGCCGTGATTGGTTGATCCTACAAGTTTGATGAAAATGAATTTTTGGTGATAATGAGCAAAGGATGTACCCTCAAATCAATAAGCATAATTATACGCTCTAATCTTATGCAGACTGTAATTGTAAATAATATTTCACATTCAAGAAAATATCTGGAAAATGAATAGTAAGCTGTAGGGGTTATAGCCTAACATTAGAATCTAAAATTTGTGAAAACTTAAGCTCATTACACCCTGTTCAAATAATGAATGTCTTATTTGCTCATATTAATATCCTAGCTGGCGTATTTTGTACTTTCACTCCCATATGGACCCCATTGAAAATCTCAAGGGGCTGTCCTTAATGAAGTAGAAATTGCAACATTACAACTCAGTGTTGTCTTAACGAGGGTAACACGGCTCAGCTTTTATCAATGTCTGTGACTGCTGGCTGGTCTATTTATGAAGGCTTATTAACAAATATCCTACAAACACAGAAAATGGAGGGAAAAAAGGGAAAAAAAGGAATTTTGTGCAGCTGCTTAGGGGAACTCCTAAGCCACCTGCTCTTATCTCGCCTTGGGAGCCCTTTAAGCGCTAGGTATCTTGAGGAATAGCTTTTATATTAACTGGGATTTTCATGTCAATTTTAGGGGAAATTCTAAGAAAACGTCATGACTCTGAGAATTTTCTTAGAAATTGGCCGCTAGGAGCCACTTTTTGCACAAAAATTATTTAGGGATACGGGCCCAGGTTTCTGACTAATGATGATGATGGTTTAAAAGAAAACTGCTATGCTTATATAAATGACTTTTATTGTTATTTTCTTACGATTGTACTTTTAACAGTTGGACTTTTAGAATCAATGTAATTTCCAGTGGATTTGTGAAATATTATTGTGATTTAAAATATAAATGTTTTCTATTTATTTATTTTTTTATTTTTTTTACTAAATTTATTCCTGTGATGTCAAAGCTGAATTACTCCAGTCTTCAGTGTCATATCACACTGAAGACTGGAGTAATTTAGCTTTGCCATCACAGGAATAAATTCAGTAAAAAAAATAAATAAAAAAAATAGAAAAAAATTATATTTATATCATTTATGATCCTTCAGAAATCATTGTAATATGATGATTTGCTGCTCAAGAAACATTTCTTATTATTATCAATGTTGAAAACAGTTGTTCTGCTTAATATTTTCATGATTTATTTTTTTTCCAGGAATCTTTAATGTACAGAAAGTTTTAATAAGATAAGCATTTACTTGATCAGCATTATTTTTGTAACTTAATAAATGTCTTTACTTTCACATTTGGAACCTAAACTTTATAATAGCAGTGTATGCCATACACTAATATGTTGATGTAAACTTGATTTGTACAGATTAATTCTATAGGGTTAGTAATTATTCATCTTACCCAGTGCTGTCTGGATGAGGACCAGTGCTTTGGCTTGTGATGGAAATAACATCAAGTTTGGAACCCGATGTCCTCTCTACATTTACCATCCAAAGGTCAGAGTTTGTGGTGGGATGGACCTCCAAAGACAACAACCTTTTTTTCATTTTCAGTCTGATGGAAAAAAAAAATATATATATATATGTATATATGTGAACAATAATATACAATACACTATGACATTTGAGTAATTGTGTGTTATGTAATAATGTTACCTAATGGTCAGTGACTCCCCACTAAAATTTGCCCTCAAGTTTACTGACACTCTGATTGGTTGCCCAGCACGTACAGGCCCTTTGCTGTAGACAATTAGCACATTGGAATCCAACCAAAATTTATCTTCCGCCTGTCTATCTAAACATGCAGCGCTTTGCTTGGTTTTGTTGATCTCTTGATCAAGTCCCACAGGACTAATGAAGTACATCTTCCTGTCTGAGTGCTGTAATACTTCCTCCGCACACCTAGGGGGTCCGCCTTTAGGACTGGACACAAAGGAAGAGTAGTAGAGCTGAATTGGATCAGACTGGGCCCCGAGTCCTCCTGGCACGGATGGATGTCTTTTCCCACGTTTTCGGGAACGAGAACGGTTTCTGCTCAGGTGACGTTGCTTGGAAATCTGGTCCAGGTTTGCCTTGATGTACTGATTAGGCTCAAACCAGTCGTTTGGAAGTGTCAGAGTGACCACACACAACCCAAAAGGTGGCTGAGAAGAAATTGGAGAATACTTGTTAATGATGATAATAATATTGAAGAAGATTGGAAATGTATTTTCTATGGTTCTTATAATATATTTACACAACAACAATATGCTTAAAACGGAGGAAGTTTTTCCTTTATGTTTTCCGGGTACAGACGACACCATTGTCAAAACAATCCCCATTCACACGGATCTGCGAAAACGGCTAAAAACGCTGGAGTCTGCTGCCAGACCATTAGGGGATTATTACGCATGTGCATGATGTCATCATCTTCAGAGATTTATGTTTTTGTGGTTTACACGCAGTTTACGAGGAGACTTTCAAAAACTTGCACTTTAGAAATCCGTTTTCAGGCACCCAAAACGCCGTCGTCGTTTGAATGAACGTTTTTTTTTTTTTTTGGTTGAAAATGGTGTCGTGTAAACAGCCCCTAGTTTAGTTTGCCATGCTTGCCCATCTGTATTCAACAGTTAGTTCCCCTGGTTACTGATTATGTTACTCACCTGTTTCAGTTTCTGTTAGCCTCACTTTATTTTAGTTTCCAGGTATTTAAAGGGGTCGTGAACTGGCTTTTTAAATTTTATTATTTTGTTGTCTGAGGTCAATTTATGACATTCGCTTGGTTTTTGCATTCAAAAACATCAAAATGAATAAGTAATTGGCTATTTTCTACCCTAGTTTTGAGCCTAGCTCAAAAACGCTCGGTTTTTATGGGAGTCTCACACTGAAGACTTGGAAGTAAACGCCCACTGCTGTGAGTGGATAACAGTTTTGCATATTATAATGAGTTTCAACTCACTCGTCGGTGCACATGGGGTAAATTGTTTTGAAAACATCCAATGTTGTAACATGGCAACCGGAAAGATTCAGTTCGACCCAGAGTCCGTGTGTTGCACCATTACTGTCAGATCCAATATAGACGGCACAGCACCGTTCTTTACTCTTAATAGGTCTGCAAATCCAGTCTTGTTTACAAAACAATCCTCAGTGAAATGAAGCGAACAGACGGACAATGTCGATCCGTTTTGTCATCACGAGGTAGGCGTATGCTATTTAGCTATGCGTGTAACGTGCGAATCGGTGGGCGGGGCTAATGGCCAAGATGAAGTAGGCGTTAATCTTCTTCTGCATGCTTTTATCCTCTTTGACGTCATAGTTCCCCACAAATGAGTCGTTTGCTGAGCCTGGTGTCAATAAAAGCTTTTATTGGACTAACAAGGATGTTTTCAGTTCTGAAATTTACAGGATATTCTTATAATCTGATGACCTCAAGGAAATTTTGAATTCTCAGTTCATCACCCCTTTAAGTTTGTTAGTGTATTAAATTTACTTGAGTTCTCACATTTTTTTGTTCTGCGTTGTTAGCATTTATGTTGATGTGTGGAATGTTTATTCTCCTGAGTTCATAATTCCATCTATATTGAAGACTAGAATTCTAAAAATTCTAAAAAATTTGTAAAATTTTTAGAATTTATTCTAGAATTTTGTCTGTTTGTGCGATTCACTATAATCAAGACACCTAACAGCTGTACTGTTTCCAACATATTTTAATATACATCTGAAATATATTTTGACCAGACAAATATACAGTATATATATATATATATATATATGGTGGAAGTGAGTGATCACTGAGGTTTGTTTGACTCTTTGCTAATTCTTATCCTGACCCATCTATGGTGCCATTGACCAGCAATACCTGGGTGATGCAGGAAGCTTTCTGTTCTTCGGTCTGTTTGAAAGCATGTAGAGTAACGCAGGTTCCGCTGTTAACATCACCCCTCATATGAAACAGCACTCGCACCTCAAACCGCTCTCCTCTTTCACCCTCAGTCTCTTTGACAATGGTTTTAGAAAGGAGCGATGCAGTGAGAGATGGAGTCAGAGGAGGAATGTCTTCAGTCATCACCTTGAGAAGACAAGAAGTGAAAGGACAGAATAAGTAACTTCCCATTATTTATCTTTGAAGTTGAAGATAACTATAATCAATAGTGTTTTACCTGTGTTATGGTGTAAGAACCAAATGTAGCACGGAGAAGAGGTTTGGAGGCTGTTCCTGATGGAGGCATGAGAAACAGGGATTGGGTGGAAGAGAAGGGGCTGGAGTTGGAGAAGAGAAGGCCCAGATCCGCCTGAGAGAGTGGGAAAGACTGCCATGGTGAGGGTGAGGTGATCCGGACTGGAAGCGAGGGGGAGTTGGGCGTCTGACAATGGGCTTTCGATGAAGAAATAGGGAAGTTGGGTTATTAGTTCAAACAATTGCTTTATTGTTTAAGCATCTCATATTCTCCCAGATTAACTATACAACATGTAACACTTTGATTTACCCAAAAAAAAAAAAAACAGGCATAAGAATTAAATAAAAATGTATCACACTTAAATTCAAATTCGGTCTAAAAGGAATTTCTGTCTCCTCTACAGAATTAGTTTTTCCCTCCAAATATTTAAAAAGATAGAACAAAAAATCTCACTGCTCAAGGACATAAAGTGTGTTATTGTAGTTTTTTGGGGGAGAGTGTAAAAAAATAAGTCAAACTTACATGGGATTATGAATAAGTGAAGGATTACCAGTCTCATAGTAGACGACTTCCATTTGAGTCTAGAAAGACTCATTACATAACACCCTGTAACACAGCAGAACAATGAAGGCTATTCCAATATTCTAAATATTAAATAGTTGATCAATTTTGTTGTTAAATTATTTATAGTTTATCGATTGAATTTTGAGTTTGATTGGCATCTATTTCTAACTTAAATGCTCCATTATTCTCCATGAAGAACTTTTGATATGGAACATTTCCATTCTAATCCTTTTGAAATAGGGGTGTTTAGATTATTAAAACTTTAAAACTTAAAGTTATTAAAACTTTAAGAACTGATCAATAAAAGGGTATTTGGAGAACAAAAAATGGCATCACTGCCCTTGTGAGACCTTTATTTTTTATTTACTTAAAATTAATTTCAGGTAAAGTAAGATACTATAAAGCAAAACAAAAACAATTGACACTTTAAACTTCCAAAAAAGTTTGTACTTGCCTCAATGGTCCTTTCAGATTTTCAGATAGTAAGATATCACTCTCCTCACACAGACATGCTCAGTCCAATGTGTGATTTTGGTCAGAGTTTCATCAGTTCATCTTCTTGCATCTGTCTTTTCGAAGATGTTTTTCTTGTTCAGGTATGTCAGAAGTGTCCAAATGATTTTAAAATCCTTGTTTCCTTATTTTAGTGTGTTGTTTCTTCTCTTTGTCATCTATAGCTCTGCACAGCTAGCTGCCAGTCACTCTCTCTCTGTCCCTCTTTGGCTGGTGTGCCGGATTCACACAATACGGATTTATTCATTTTAAATGGTAAATAATCCTCTTCTCTCACCCTCCCCCATTTTTCCTCTCTTTATTTCTTGGATATGTCTGGCCAAAGATAGTTGACATCCTTCCAAGTAACCCCTTGTAAATCTGAAGACGAAACCCACTTGCTATCTCACCTTAATCTCACTCTTTCCCCCAGGTCCTCTACATTAAACATGCAGAATTTATGTTTTCACAAATAGTGAGTTTCTGAACATACATTAAAGAAATGGGATCTCAATGCTTTTAATGTTTAATTTCAGCGGCTTAATGATTAGTGCACAAGGGAGAAATGCTGCAGACGACATTAAAGGCAAAATCCTATTAGCAAGAATGAGGGCATTACTGTATATGCATCTGAAAAAATATTTAATCACAACACTATCTCTTTTTTCCCATCAAATCGTTCTATTTTGCTTGAGCACTAAAAATATCTAAATGCATAAAATCCTAAGAATATCATATTAACTTTTTCTCAACCCTTTACATCTATCCTCTCTTAGTATCTTAAAAATAAGCAAATCTTCACGGTTTTCACTTTAATAAATATCAAGCTCAATTCATTTGCACAAATTATTTAAAGAAGTAGTTCACCTTTAAAAAAAACTTTTGCTGATAATTTACTCACCCCAATGTCATCCAAGATGTCCACGTCTTTCTTTCTTCAGTCGAAAAGAAATTAAGGTTTTTGATGAAAACATTCCAGGATTCTCCATATAATGCACTTCATTGGGAACCACACGGTTCAAGGTCCAAATGAGAGTTTCAGTGAAGCTTCAAAGGGCTTTAAACGATTCCAGACGATGAATAAGGGTCTTATCTAGGACCCTACTCAAAAAAAAGATTTGTTCATTTTGATAAACGAGTTTGAACAGGAGAGTCACGAACGCGCATCACAGAACAGAGCAAGGCGAGCATTTGTGCTTATAAAACTTAAACTTTTTATCTATTTTTTAAATGACCGATCGTTTCGCTTGATAATACCCTTATTCATCATCTGGAATCGTTTAAAACCCTTTGAAGCTGCTCTGAAACTGTCACCTTGAACCGTTTGGTTCCCATTGAAGTCCATTATATGGAGAAAATCCTGGTATGTTTTCATCAAAAACCTTAATTTCTTTTCGACTGAAGAAAGAATGACATGGACATCTTGGATGACATGGGGATGAGTAAATTATCAGCAAATTTTTTTTTTTTAAAGTGAACTACTCCTTTAATTTGAGGTTAAAACTTAAACACTCTAAAGATTGGAATTAATAATTGCCAATCTTTTATTATTTGCTTTTTGCACAATTGATCAAACTGTTAACACTTTACAATATGGTGTAACATGAACTAAGAATGAACAATACTTCAGCAATTATTAATCTTATTTACAGATAATTTTCTATTAAAATCAAAGGTTGTATTTGCTAACAATAATTAATGCACTGAACTAACTTGAAAAATGAATAACTATGAACAATTTTATTAACTAACATAAATAAAGACTGTAACAAATGTGTTACCCATTGTTAGCTCATGTTTTAACATCAAATAATGTTAACTAATGAACCTTATTGTAAAGTGTTAGTATAAACATTTAATTTTAACAGTTAAGCTTCTGTGATGAATATTTGTTCCTTTAGATTTTCTTTATCTCCGATAGGAATAATAGACCTCCAGAATGATTTTTATCCAAAATAGCAGGAAACAAGCAGGTTTGATGTCAGTGAGAGAAGGAGAAATGGCAAATGGATGCACTAGATATTTTACCCATGTCTCTTTGTTAATCTGCATGTAATCTGTTGTCATCTGTCATTGTTCTCTGCCAGAGCCTCATTTAAACTACAGATTTAATCCTTCATTTTGACCTGAGGATGAGGAGACGACGACACTTATCCACCCACACACACACAACACACTCTCTCCCACCAAACCTGCTGTTGCGTTCCCTCAGCTGTGTATTTTGTCTCTCAATGCATAAAGACTACAAAAGGGTAATACGCAATAGAAAAAATAATGATCAGAACTGAAAGAACCATCCTGAAATGCTGTGCATGCATATAAACACACACTGGGAGATGGGAAAAGGTTTAGGCAAAAGCCCTCCAAGCTTTTTAACTTTCTCTCTCACTGGCGCACTTAGAAAGAGAGTTTCACTTAGTTATCAGTCAGGCAAGGCATAAGATTTTAAGCTGTTGTGATTTTAAACCCTCTATGAGTGCAGTATTAAAAAAAAAAAAAGTCAACTGGGTCAAAGAGATAGAGAGAGAGGAGGAAATATTAAAAGAAAAAAAGAAGGAAATGGGAAAAAGAAAGACAATGAAACCAAGCAAAAAGAATGAGTACAGTATATTTAGAGCACGAGCGACAGAAATAACACAAACAGGAAGTCAATAGAATTACGACAGGAAACCACATTGCTGCAAAATTGTGCATTAACAGCTCATTCCCTCTTCCAACCTTTACATCACTTCCACCTCAGAAGAAGAAATTTCTCATCAAAGCTCAACCAAAAGCATCCTAAAATGTTTATCGTGTAGTGTTCAACTTATTTACAGCATATCCAATTTCATTATGATTCTGCACCCAAGTCAAAAGCCAGGGAAGGTCTAAATGATTTTCTTAATAGTTTATTTAAAATTATTCATACTCCAATAAACAAAAAAGTCTTTCAGGACATGAGCAAAATTCCATTTTGTTTCTGGCTATTTAGAAAACAATATTAACAAGCATATACAGCAAAATCAAGTAATTACAAATATATATATATATATATATATAATGAAGCCTGCTATGCAATACACTGTAAAACATGCTATATCTAAGCAATAAAATTGTTCTAACAGATTACAAGCAATTTTATTAATTAAATTTAAAAATTAATTCCTTAAAAGTTAACCAGTCAAATGATTGTGAAAATTTTTTTTATGTTAAAACATAACCAACACCATCAGATACCATTTACTATTTGTTCATCTGAATGTTATAACTCAGGTATATCAGCCATGCAAAGAAAACTTAAAGTCAATGATTCAAGGGTCAAGAGCCCAACTAAAACAAACATTGATCACCATAATGGTGACTTATGGTGACAAGCGATTCGGCTTGTTAACGTCAGGTGTCTTCAATATTGTCAATATAAAATAAAGAGTTGTTTTTCGTTCTTAATTATCTGTTATTCGCATATTTTTTGTGTAAAGTTTACTAATTTGAAATGGTTAGATAGATTAATTATTACTCAGTTCTAATTTGTTACATTTAATTAATAATATTGCTTGTAATCTGTTGTCACAATTGTATTGATTAGATATAGTGTATTCATTTTTACAGTAAGCACTTTGCTGGTTACGTTGAGACAAATGTTTTTTTTTTTAAATTCTGTCCTAGATGGATTTCTCAGCTGAACTTCTCGAACATATTTACATCTTGTTTGACTTGCCAAAGGACAGCTCAAATCAACCAAATCCCCACAACACAAGACTGCTGATTCTAGATGAGACTGGCGAGAGTCTCGGGGTCAGGAAACACACTCTCAGGACTTCTGTGAGCCCAGGCCTTCAGTTGAAGCCGTACGAGTCATAGTCACTGTTTCGGTTGGACGAGGGCTCTCTGCTCGTGTTTACCGTCAGCCTCTCCAAACCTGACAGCACAGGGAAAAAAGGTGTGCATGGTCTGAAACTCTTATTCGATGGTCAGTAATAAGGCTGAACCAAATATTCAACTAACACTGTAAAAAAAATATTTTCAAGATTTGTTATCACAACATATTTTCTTTTGTCAAATCAAATCAACTTTATAATAATTTATTTAGTTGAGATAACTTATTATTTTTAGTTTCTGATGATAAAATTAATCTCCTTCATTGTATTAACTCACTTTTTCCAGTTCAATCAACTTAAAATTTTAAGGCAACCAGGTTACTTACTTTTTTAAGTTAAACCAACAATATTTTTTACAGTGTAGTAATCACAACATTTTTTCTTTTTTCAAATCAACTTAAATAATTTATTTAGTTCAGATAACATATAATTTTGAGTTTCTGATGATTAAATTAATCTCCTTCATTGTATTAACTAACTTTTTCAGTTCAATGAACTTAAAATTTTAAGGCAACCAGGTTATTTTTTTAAATTAAACCATCAATATTTTTTTACAGTGTAAACATTGTATGAGCTACTAATTTTATATGGTTTCCATTTTTTTTTGTTAGCAGAATTTTGTAATTTTGCAACATTACCAAAAACTTGGTAATTTGTTAACTTGTTTTTTTTTTAAAAAAACATTAAATAAATTGTTTTATTGAAAATTTAAAAAATAAAATAAAATATTTTCAAGATTTGTTATCACAACATTTTTTCTTTTGTCAAATCAACTTAAATAACTTATTAAGTCGAGGTAACTTATTATTTTGAGTTTCTGATGATTAAATCAATCTCCTTCATTATATTAACTCACTTTTTCCAGTTCAATCAACTTAAAATTTTAAGGCAACCAGGTTTTTTAAGTTAAACAATATTTTTTTACAGTGTACTGTCATTTGGGACAAAATGTTCCTTTACACTCATTTATTTTTCCCCCCACACTGAACTAAAGATCTATGAATTTTGAATTGTTGTCGAGAAGGTGATAGACCATGATTTAGATACTTACAGTAAATGTTGTGTTATATAATAGTTTAATCCAACATATCCAACTCACAACCAAAAAAAGCGCCACGTGATTTGAATGAAAGCAATTTGACTGAAAATCTCAATACATCATAATTCTCAATTCATCATTATGTAATTGAGTAAATGAACATGAGTGCGAGTGAGAGATTAATAGAACGAGTTCAGAATGGTCAAATAGAAGAGAGAGCGAGAGAGACTCACCAGGAAAGGATTGTCTCTTGAGCGTGTTGTTGTTTGGGGGACCTTGACCTCTGTGATAGGACACTTAAAGAAGAAAGAGAACATGCTGAATGTTTCCTCACTATAGTACCAGTCATGAATGTGTTCATGTTTGAGATGACTCACCACTCTGACTCTGAGTCGGCCCAACCCAGCGAGTCTCCCGTTTTTGTGAAACTGCATCAAACAAGGTAAAAATTGTCAAATCAAACAGAGCATTTCACTTTGGCTTTTAAAAAAAAAATCAGTGGCAAACCAACAGGAAAATATCAGTGTCAAACAGTATTTTTTGAGAGTGGGATTCAAATGCTATTACAAATTATATTCGGTAACTTTACAATAAGGTTCATTAGTTAAATCAGTTAACTACATGAACTAAGATTGAACAATACTTCTACAGCGTTTCAACATTTACTAATACAATATTAAAATCTTGTTAACATTAGTTAACGCTCTGTGAACTAAGAACAAACAATGAACAGCTTTATTATAAATTAACTAACTTTAACAAAGATTAACTAATACTGTAACAAATGTGTTGCTCATTGTTGGTTCATGTTAGTTAATACATTAATGCTACCTAATGACTCTTATTGTAAAGTGTTACCTACTAATCAAAACAATTTGAGTTGAAAATAAACATGAATTTGATCATTGAATCGAGCTGCATAAACTCCACATTCATGAATTCTTCAAACAAAAGTTCTTGTGCTTTAGAAGAGCATCTGACTGTATACAGACTAGAGTTCACATGATCAATCTCACCAATTTGGTTAGATTTGATTAGCGACCTATAAATACTGGAGAATCTGAAATACTTTAATAACAAGTTTCCTTGTTTAAAAAAAAAAATACAAGATTCAGATTTTGGTAACACTTCGCAAAAAGGTTCCATTTGTTAACATAAGTAAATGCATTGAATTATTTGAACTAACATCGAGGAATAGCCCACATTTGTTACAGTATTTATAAATCTTTGTCAATGTAAGTTCATATAAGCTAAGGACCATTTAATAATATTAAAATATTCAACATTTGATTTTAATTATGTATTGGTAAATGTTCAAATTAACATTAACTAAGAAAAATAGAAGTATTTTCAGTGTTAGTTCATGGTAGTTAACTAATGTTACCAAATGGAGCCTTACTGTAAAGTGTTACCCAGATTTTCAATTAAACCTTATTTTCTTGGACTGTATATGAGCAAACGCAGAGATATGTCGAATGGTGCTATGTGCCATTTAAACATTTACATTTTATATAGGTAATGTGAGATTAAAGACACACTCGTTCGCTTCTGACTCACATCTTTTGCGGATGGCTTTGTATGTGGGCTGACCGTACTGAACCAGAATGACTCCCAACATCAAGAAAATTAATATGCCAGTTACTGCTTTATAGGCAGACAACTCCCTTCCTAGAGGATCTGAGAAAATGTGGGAAGAAAAGAAAATGATGCGTTATTCAAAATGCACAGAATATAGCGGTAACAATTATTTTGTTGATGAAACCTGATAAGAAAAAAAGAACATTCCAACATACGAGTTATAGAATAAAGTAAAACTCTTCTCTGGAAAAGAAACAGAACGCACACAGATACCGTAATTTTTTTTAAGTACAACCAACTTGTCAACAAGTCATTTCAACTTAAATTACATTTAACTGACTTATAAATGTTTTTTTGAATAGCCTATAAAAAAAAAGCTTTGAATGTCTTAACTTATTTTAATGAGGTAAAGCAATGTAAAAACACATGTTGTCATAACTTATTGATTATATAATTTTTTACAGTGTACCTTCGCAAATGATTTGCAGCCCTGCGCATCTTTCACTGATTAACGTCATGTTTCCTGTGAGAACATGACCAGGAGCCTTATTTGTGGTCTTAAAGCCCTTGTAGTCTCCACATCTCATATCCTTACAGAGCTCATTCCACCAGCTTTCTGATAAGTGGCTGTTAACGCACAAAGGGGCTTGAGTCTTATTAGGGAAATACACAAACAGCTGACCCTCGCACGGACTCTTCCCCCGCTTTACCTTCAGCCGGGCCAGAACAAATTGAGTGATATAATGGATAGTTTTAGGACATGGGGTCTGAGTGGGTATTGTTTTGGGGGTTGAGAAGTTTGTGTTGGTGATATTTGTGATATTAGACATCTGTGATGTTCCTTCTCCTGTAAAGGGAAAACACACAATTACTTTCATGACTGTTGGAAAGTTGGAATATGTTAAAAATGTTGGAACACCAGAATCATTCTTCTCCACATAAAATGTGTATAGTTTGGAAATAAATATTAAATCTTCCTTTGTGTGCAGCAGAACAAATAAACACATAGAGGTTTGGAACAACTTGAGGATGAGTAAACAATGATAGAATTTTAATTTTTGGGTCAACTTTCCCTTTAAATGCAAATGCAAGAAACGTTAGTTGATAAAATACCGCTGCACAGAATTTATACCTATACTTGTACGTATATGCATGTCATTTTGATTGCAGTTGATATGCTGCTCTGCTCTTATTTGATAACATTGCAAGATATCGCTTCAGTTATTACATTTTTATTACAATGTGCTATAATATTCTCCAACTCGCCACTCTCAACTCTAGATCTTTATTTGACATTTTGTATGTAAAAATGTGACATGCTCTGCATTATTGAAGCATTAAAACGGCTGTAACTGAGGTCAGAGAGCAGATAGCTGGATCATTTGCACTCATTGCGCTCATGCACTTTTTGCACTGTGCTCGAAGGGATTCACACAGTTTGCACATTTGACTGCATGATTGCTTGGTGCGTATTGCACTCTGCAGAATCAAGTGCTTAACGGATCTAAAATTTGGATTACCAAAAATCACCAAAATAATTGTGATTTTTGGTATTTATGTATTTACAAAAAAACATAAAATGTAATTATGAAATGACTGGAAAAAAACATAAAATGAATAATATGCGTTATGAATAAAATGTATTGATATATTGACAACGGGTTTTAACATCAATACATAATAATACATCAATACATATGAAAAGTTCAGATGCAAAAGCCTCTAAATGCCATTTGTAATTTTCTTCTTTAATGATGATTTTTATCAAACTTGTATATTTAAGTTCAGTAATTTCACTTAAATAACAATTAATAGGTAATTATCATTGCCATATAAGTGAAATCACTGAACTTAAATATACAAGTTTGATAAAAATGATCATTCTAGAAGAAAATTTCAAATGGCACTTAGAGGCTTTTGCATCTGAACTCTTCATATGCTTATTCACATAAACATATCTTGACAACTTACAAAAAGATGATTTTCACTTTTCATTGATACATAATTTACTGTCCTTGTTGATATATATATATATATATATAATATTTTTTTAAATAAATAATATTTATTAAAATAAGTAATATTTATTAAACAAATTATATATATATATATATATATTTTTGATTGAAAAAAAAAATATATAGGAGTCAACATTTGAAGTGGATCAAAACCTTTCATCAAAGTTATACATGAATTTTGAACAATACCCATTCTTGTCTTAGGACAACTTTGATTTTTGATTTTTTTTTATCCACTTCAAATGTCGACTATATCAAAAGCTAATTTATTAGTGCTGGCGTTGAATATGTTAAATGGTTTACAACAATTTTAAGTACAACGCCTGTTCTTTTGAATTGTTTTTCTGACGGTTTTGTTCATGTCTTCTTATTTTCCAAAACTAAATGGTCAATTAATGTATTGCACTCTAACAACAAATTATTTATTTACCAGACAATGGGCTCAAAAAAATGTTCCTCTTTAACAGTAGGCCAAGTAATTATTCCATGATTTTTGCCATTTATATCAAAGCCAACTTTTTGGGATAACTTCTGATAAAACATTAGACATGCACATGACAAATAGTAACACGGTCTACTATCTCATGCAAGAAACAAGATTGAAATGCAGTATGCAGATTTTTTTTTACATGAATAATAAAGAAGCGTGTAAGAAAAGTTTTTGCAGGGTGACCCATATACCGAATTCACCCTATTAGTTCAATCCCTATATTAAATAGAGAACTTGCAAACATTTTTAAATATTCATGTTGCCATCAGTTTCCAGTAAACATGGAGTTAAGAGTAAGTATTTGAATGAACAATAAAAACCACTACAAGAAATGACGTATTTTATCAGGACGCAATTGACACTTGCGCTAATTTTGTAATGCATTCTTGCAGGCCTCAATGTTATTATGTTTTGCATTATAAACATTCTTCAATATAATGTTGTGATTGTAAGCAGACTATTCTAGTCATTGCAATACTAAGTGTTGTTCCTTGGTCCATTTATTCTTGCTGATATTTTTAATCCATATATTAGAATATTAAACAGACTAAGTGTAGCCTACATCAGCATCTACAACTGCCTGCAGATATTTTTTGCAGAGCAGATCATAAATGTAACATGCATCATTTAAGAGCACAACAATAAAGCATATTTATGAATAATCAATTTACTTACGAACACCGAGGAGCAGGAGCGCCGTAAGAGTCATCAGCAGAGAGTTTTCCATCTGGCAGAAGGTTGTGCCAAACATTTAGAGCTTCATTTAACTTCATTTGACTAAACAAAATAACTCTATGCACTCTATAAACTGTTAACAGGCCCAGAGGTCAACTGAATGACCTTTGGTAGACACCGGCGAAACCGGTGCTTTTTGTTAGATTTAATTGAGCCTCGGCCCAGTTATGTTTAATTTCTCTCATTTTTTTAGGGGTCCGGTTCAGATAAAGCAAAATAATAAGCATGTTTAGCCTGAGTTTTTATCAGTAGCCTATACGGCAAAGATTTCAAATCATACCATGACTTAAGCCACAATAAAGAAAAACATCATTCACTACAATGACACTTTATGTCATGGCAATTTGTTAACACAAACCGGACTCACTTTAAAAAAAAAGATTGTTTATGATGTTATTTTAGATATGTGACAGTACGGCTATTGTGCGGAACTGTCTTCACATCTCTGCTTCAACAGTGTTTTGAAGGTTTTCTTCATCAAAGAGCATCAAACATCTATGAAACACCATGACTTCTAACCAGCTTTAAAACAATATATTATCAGATCTTACCTTGCCTGTGACTGACAAGAACAAATGTGTGCAGCAAGTGACAAGAAAAATTAAGTGAAAGGAAATAAGCAGAGGTGTGGAACTACTATCTTCATTCCCCGCCCCCATCCTCTCTCTCTCTCTATCTCCATATAGAGCGAGTCTTTTATTCTCAAGTATGTTTGATTGCACAGTGCACTGCTTCCTCACTTCAAAGAGCGGCATACAAAAAAAAAAAAATGAAGAAAAGTATGAAAAAAGGGCAAGTATGGGTAAGTGGGAGGAGAAAAGGTAATAAGTAGTGTGATGTTGTTAAACCTGATATTAAATGTTAAAAAATTGAAAACAACAATTTCTAACACATTTTTAAAAATATATATATATATATTTTTAAGTTTACAAAAATACTTACCATTTTTATCTCAAAAGTATATGGTTGGTGGAGTAAACAAAGCAGAAAAAAAAAAAAATCCGCATTCAAAACTGAAAATGTTTCTTTTTTGCATACAGGAACTGAGTCTCTTGTGGTGTACGGCACACTGAAAATGTTCTAGCAAGTTTCGCACAGATGATTAATTGTGCTAGTAGGAATCAACGGCGAGTGTCGTGGTAAGTCAGTCAGGCTATAAAACCACCGATATCCACATCTATCCTTTCATTTTACTGTTACTCATAACTTCTTTTCATTCACTATCTTTCCCAGACGCCTCTCCCCCTCCCTCACTCTCTCGATCTTTCTCAGGTGTCGCCGGGGTTGGTTTACCATATCTTACAGTCGTAGAGAGGCCCGTAAAGACTGGTATTCGTACCTGTACAAAAAAAATCCCCCAACACCCTCTTGAAACTCGTCTATGATTCAATATGAACGGAATCTAAACAGCCTTCAAAAGTGAGTCAATGAGCTCCCATTTCTCGTCTTGTAAATTTATGAAAACATTAGCTTTGTGTGATCCTCAAAAGAAAAAAAAAATCGGTTTGGGTGTGTAAGGTTTAAGGTAGTCTCTTACGTTCATCAAGGCTGCATTTATTTGATCAAAAATACAATCAAAACTGTAATTTTCTGACATTTTTCTGTTTTCTAAATTATTTTTAAATGTAATTTATTCCTGTGATGCAAAGCTGAATTTTCAGCATCATTACTCCAGTCTTCAGTGTCACATGATGCTTCAGAAATCATTCTAATATTATGAATTGGTTCTTTAAGAAACATTTATTGTTATTATCAATCTCAAAAATGGTTGTGCTGCTTAATATTTTTGTAGAAAAAAATAGATTACAAAAAATTCAGGATTCTTTGAATAGAAAGTTCAAAAAAGCTTAAATATATGTATCTTAAATATAAATCTTTTGTAACATTATAAATGTCTTTACCTTCAAAATGTGGATCTTTTAATCATTTTAATTCACCCTCAGTGAATGAAAGCATTCATTTCTTTCCCCTAATCTTTTGTACTTTTACATCTACTAATAACAATAAAAAGTCACAGAAATCAGATCACCTTCAGAGTTTAATATTCACACCCGAAAAAAAGGACAATAAAAATAAAAATACACTTTTAACAGGCTACAGTCATTACAACCAATGCAATAGAATCTCTTTCTTCTAACGCTGGAAAATCAATGTGCTAATAAAATTTTCATCCCATTTTTAAACCCCTCTTATCCTCGTGTCATATCACCCCTCTCCCTCGCTCCAGGTGCTGGGGAGGAAACCTAAACGCGGGGGTTTTGCTACAAACCTGAGTCTTAATTACTGAGTTCATGAATTAGATAAAGCCACCCGAGGCTTGATTGAGGATGCCTCTGGTTTTGAATTGCTTTAAAGTACAAAAATAAAGAGTGACCCAGCACGCCTATTCTAAAGTGGACCGGTCGAAGGCCCCGCTCCCAGCATCTGTTGCCAAAGAGTTTGGGGCTGTAAGTGTGGAGTGTTAGTGTGATTCACGTGGTCCTCCGGCTGACCAACAAGGACCAAGGAGTTAGGTGGGGCTTTTACAGAACTAAATAACACCTCATAATGACACGCACGGGCCGTTTTGTTGGGTAGGCCTACACTTTTGTATTTGGAGGTGTTTATGAGGAAGAATCTGAAGATGGGCTCAAATCAAACCACAAAATTAGAGTAAACGCTCTTGATTCGAATCCAGTCCGAATCATCTTGTGATTCTGATGGCAATATGCCTTTCTGAAACAGACAGGGTGGCAAGACCATCAAATGCCTCAAATGTGTTTAAATTTAAAGTGTAAAATATGCAGTCTCGCATTCGTCTGCATAGTTTTGAAAACCAAAAGGTTTTCTTTACCGTAACGGTAGGTGCTGAATGCTATATTTACTAACGTAAGCATGTTATGTAGCGCCTTTTTTCTTTGCATATGGTCTGTGCTATGATATGCTTCACCTTCCTCACCAAATCCTGTGCTATAGCAGATAGATACGTCTATGTTAATATCCCTTGTTCTCCGCTTTCCCTTTAATATTAGTGTAATTTGTCAAGTACACCATCCTCACTACAGACTATTCCTTCTGATCAGTGTCGAGCGGTATTTCAAATAAATGGAGTGGAAGGGTGTAAAAGAAAAAAGAGGGAGCCAAAGAGGTATCGAGAGGGTTGGGAGTGATTGATTGGTGAATTAAAAGGAGGGTGCATTCCACCCATTGATATGGATTTCAAATCAGCACACATGGAAGTTGTCACTTTATTCATGATAAAGAATAAGCCCGGCTTTATTAAGGAGTTTTCATCTGTGATAGAATGTAAAATGGTGCTGTGCTTTCTGGATTGACGCTGTCAACAAGTATTGATATAGACAAGAGAACAAGACTACGGCTCGGCTAAAGTACCGCTTCCATGTAGTGTGGCGTGTTTTTTCTCAGTGAAATGTTGACAAAATACTTGGAAAGAACAGCCAAATAAGGATGAGCTGTAACACAATGTCGTCAGAAGACAAAAACAAGCATCTCGTCATTGAACATAATCAATGTTTCAGAGATTTTTGCAAACCGATTTGAAAACATGCTTCAAAATGGACAGGAACTGAGCCGTTTAAGAGTCTCTGACTGAAGTTTCATGGGGGAAACAAGCACACGCTCAATCTCAAGTGTCTTTATAAGCCTCAGACAGGAAGAGGATGTGACATGAGTACTTAAAACCACAAATCTGAGGGCAGGGAAAAGGCAGAGCAAAAGGAGAAAGGAGGGACAGAGACGAGAGGGAGGATGATGAGAAAAAGAGAAAGACAGACACACACAGAGTGGCTCAGGAGTATGGCTGTGGTACCCCAAAACCTGGCCTATAAAGCGGTCTAGCTGTGGGTGATTGGGTTGATGGCCCATGGGGGCCTGTGGGGTAGCTGTACCCTCCATACGGGTATGGAGTGGGGTACGTGGCGGGCGTGGGACCAAACTGCCCAAACGGTGGGGCAGGAAATGGGGTTTGGGTGGGGTATGGGCAAACGGGAGGACCAAATGCAGGCCTGGGAGCGGAGTAGCCTGTCGATGGCGGGAAGGGAGCACCCTGGCTAGGGTAGGGCTGAAACGCTGTGCTAGGGTTAGCGGTGCCCGCTGTGGAGGCTGAGGGGGGAGCAACGGGGAAGGGGGAGTAGGGGAGGGCCGAACTTGAGGCATTGGAGGGTGCATTGATTTTGGAGCTCTGTTGATGCTGAGCCTGCTGTGGTTGCCACGGCGATGATGACCCAGCATCCTGATTGGCACAGGGTTGTGATGTCATTGGAGCATCTCCTTTGCCTTTGCTTTTTTGGCAGAGAATTTCTTGCAGCTTTTCAATGCGCACTCGTCTTGTGTGAGCGAGAGAGCGGAGGGAAAGGAAGCGTTCGAGGAAGGTGTCCAGTGATATCGAACCTTCCAGAAACTCATCTGCTAGAACCTGAAAGAGATTGAGTGATTTTCAAATCCTCACACCGTGGACTTGGTAACAAATATATCTACATTTTTTTAACATTATGCAATGCTTAGGAGGTTGTAGTTCATAAAACTTAAAATACAAATATACATTACATTCAAAAGTTTGGAAGCACAAAGACTTTATATTTTTGAAAAAAATTGCAAATTACTTTTATTCACCTTAGATGAATTATGAAAAGCTATTATATATATATATATTTTTTTTTTTTTTAAGTATTAAGGTATTATTTAAGATCTCTGTTCAAAGAATCATGTTAAGGATTACATAAGATATTCTTCCGGTTGCATCAACTGCTAAGTTAGTAATCACATTTATTTAAGTCAGTTACATAAAAACGTAGACTGGTCTAATTCAAAACTTAAAAATATTGACTAACCACTAGCTGGTCATACTAGTACTTAAAGGGCATATTGCAGGTTAGAGGACCCAATGAGTCAATGTGTATATAAACATTCTTATAAATACGCTACACTGGCTTCTGGAGTCATTTTTGTGAGAATTTTACTTCCGCATCTGAAAATGGGCGTGGAGGGCGTGACGTAACGGGAGTGACAGCGGTCGATTCAAACAGAAACAATGGGAAAAATTACATTTTGTCCACAGCCAACAGAGCTAGGAGAGGCCCGGTTTAATGTTATTAGACAGAACAACGGTCAGAGGAGACAACACATTATTGCAAAACTATTATTTAAAAAAAAACGTGTGTGGAGCGAGTGAGACGCAGTTTATTGCATCGTTCAATCGTGCGTCTTTTTGATTAGCCTACCTGTCAGGCCTATTCAATCTTCCCTGGATGTTTTTTTAACAAAGAAATTAAATAATAGCAATCAGGAGAATGGAAGCAGCAATAAAAAATGAGGACTGTAGTGCTGTCAGCAAAACATTATACCACTTATGCAATAACAACTGCATTGCAACAAAAAGGTATGGCATGTGTTTTTATATTTAATACTGTTCACTGTGAGTTTTAATTAAAAGTGTAATAGAGTTAATAGTGCATTGTGTGCATTTTGTTTGGTAAATGTGAGGTGTTTATCGTTCCGTAATGTCGTTGCATAGAGGGGAATGCCATACTCTAGATTTTTGTGAAACACCGCCACTGAGAACGAGAAAACACTGAGAAATCCCGTGTCTTCACCTGCACAAACCGCAGACTGGCATGAAAGACAGCACCAAACTTTTTCTTGTTAGGAAACCTGTGGACTCGATGTCCTGACAGGCCA